TTCTAGTAGGTTTAGTCATCTGCCTTTGCTGAGGGCAGACTGTTATAAATCGACTGAGACGCCCCTGGCGTATCAAGCCCTCGACCTGGTCTTTGAGGTTAACATACTCCTCGGTATTATGGCCGTGGTCTTGATGGAAACGACATTATTTGGACTGGTCTCGCCGGTTAGAAGGAGACCGAGACAATTGGGGCCATTTTAAAGGATAATCTCATTGGATCTGGTTCAGGACTTGTTCCATGGGAGAAACGAGGGGTGTGTAGCGTGCGAACCAGCCGGGCGGTCGGGTAGGCACCGACCGGTCAGCTCGGGCAGGTTGGTCAATATACTGAGGTGTTTGATAAGTGTACTGGGTGTTTCTGGTTTCAGAGTCCTTTCTCTTCTCTCTGGGGGTCGGGTTTTTGGTTATAGGATCTTGTCGGGCGGTTAGGAAATCTTCGGCATTTATGTATTTTTGGGCTTTGAAGAGTAGGGTCGCCATGGAGGTTGGGGGGTTTTTGGAGAAAAAAAAAAAGGAAATCAGACGATCGTAGACCAACCATGAAAGCCGTGAGAATGACCTTGTCGTCGTTTTTCGCTACCTGTAAGGCTTCGGGGTTAAAGCGGGTGACGAAGCTGCGTAGCAACTCCCCCTCCGACTGACGGATGTTGAGGAGTTGGGTTGCCAGACGTCGCTTGCACTGGGCACCAATGAAATGGCTGAGAAATAAGTCACTTAGGTGCTGGAAAGTAGAGACAGAGTCTGCTGGTAGTTGACTAAACCAGAGTCGAGCCGACCCCTTAAGTGTTACGGGGAAAGCCCGGCACATGATCTCGTCGGGGAATGCATAGAGGACCATGAGGGTCCTGTAAGTCTCCAAATGGTCGACTAGGTCCGTTGTGCCGTCGAAAGAGTCAATCGAGGGCATTTTGAACTTAGGGGATAGGGGTTTGTCCCTAATGGAGGCAACAAATTGTGAGTTGGCTGTGGTGGAGGGTTTATTCTGTATGTTCTGCATGACTCATTGCAGTTGGAGTTTCATGGCTCGAAGTTTTTCATCCCAAAGAGAAACGTGTTCATCACCGGAATGCAGCGGAGGCTGGACACTGCTGGCCTCTCCTTCGGGGGTGGGTGCCTGACCGATGGGTGTGGGGCCCAGGGTGGTAGGTTCATATCTGGAGGAGGGGGTCGCAAGCCTTCCAAGTTGAATGGATGGGACTGTTGGATAGGATGGCTCGGGGCTCGCTCTCAGTTGGGTGGGATGTCTTGAGGTGGAGGAGGAAGGATGAGAGGGTCTCTTTGAAGCAAAGCATTGATTAAGGCCTGCTTTTGTTCGGCTAAGCTGTTAATACTGTTTGTGAGTTCTGTGAAATGCTGTGGTGGGTTGTTTGGATCAGGAGGGTTGGCTTGGGGGTCGGCAACGTTAGGTTGAGAGGCCATGGATCTAGTTATGACCATCCACCCTCGTAGGTGGCATATAGGGATTATCGGGGATGGGTCTCTGGCGGCAATGAGCACAACTGCCACACGGAGCAGAAAGGATTGCCACAGACGGCGCCAACTGATGATACAACGAGTTCCAGACGGAACGGGTCGGTTTGATCCACGCTTCCCAAATTGGTACCCGAGACGCCAAGCCCACGGAGAGACCTGCACAAGAGTTCGACGGGGAACGAGGAGTCCCCCAGCGAACCCTCCGACGAGCAAGTTAAAAAGAGAGAAATGGAATGCAGGGATAGATTGGTGATAGAGAAGCTTAACCTTTGCCTTGTCTTCAAAACCTGCTTATATTCTCTACTAATCATTTCCTTGTCCCTTCCGACCTATCACGTTGGCCAAAAGTCTATGTTCTAGCTTGCCTTGTTCATGGTGAGGCCATTTTGTTCTGACGGGGAGGAGTTATCGCAATAAATGCTGCAAGGAACCTCATTAATGGCTGATGTATGGTGTAATAACTTTGTAGGATCTTTGTCTGCTGATGTGGCTGGCTCTTTATATGCCAAGTGTTTAGATGTCACTGGTTCTTGGTGTGATGTTGGGCTTCAAGAATATTGAGAATCATGGACTGGGCCTTAAGTGGTGGGCCATGTCCTTTATGGGCCCACCCATGTCAGTATTGGAATAGAGAAATTTAAAAATAAAAAATTTAGAGCGAAGTTGAAAAAAACAGGAAGGAAAATATTTGGCTCTAAATCAAAAGCAAAAAAAAGAGAAAAAGAAAAACACATTTCTAGTAATTTGTTTGACAATAAATTCAAAGTAAAAGATGATTAAAAGAAAAATAATGTGAGGACCTCCATAACTTACGTGGATTTTCTCTTTTATGGTGGATATGCATTTTTTTTTAATATAAAGGAGGCATTGGTGATATAACAAAAATATTAATTATTCTACGATCCTTAAAATTAATTAATTATACAAGATTGACCGAAAAAAGCTGCTACAAGACTCAAAGACTACTATTAATCGCAAGTTTTCCTGTCCAATTGAAATAGTCAATGTCAAAAATTGGAGTTTTTACATACAAAACCACTAAATTTTGAAAAATTATTAGATAGTCTTAGAATATCATATGGTAATGTTCATACCAATCACTATCTTCAGATATTTCTTAATCACTCAATCTTAAATCGTAAGTCTCACTCCGCTCACTAATTATAATGTTTGACACACCATTTAATTATGCTTCCAGACAAACAAACAATTTTTTCTAAAATTTTTGAAGGCCTCATTTGGAGATAAATTATTATAATTAGTAATGCTTTTTTAATTTTTGCAAAAAAAGATGTAAGAAAAATAAAAAGAATAGTGTAGCCTAAGGTCCACAATATTAGTCTAACATCTATCTCTAACTTTTGATAATGGAATAGGTCCATAATATTTATTTTTGTAGCCTAAGATCCCTTACACTCACACCCACATTCATGCTCACACCCACTCTCTCTCTCTCTCTGTGCCTCTCTCTCTCTCTCTCTCTCTCTCTCTCATTTCAGTCGGTTCTCTACTCTTGATCTCTTTTTTTCTCTCTCTAAAAACCAAATGCTCTTGCAATTGTTGTTTGAAAATCGACCACAATGTTGTAGTAATAGCTGGATCTGGGTTCTTCACAAAAGCTTCCTCAACACCACCACCAATTTCGATGATCCTAACATTGAAAGAGATATCTGGCGTCTCCAACGCCGCCGAAGTCGGCATGTCCCTTGACAAAGCTGTTCATCACCTCAATTCATTTGTCTCCAGATTGCAAGGTCTCAAAAGAAATATATACGTATTGTATTGTCCCCACCAAACCCTAACCTGCTTTTGCTTGTTTGCTTCGATAATTACTCTTTTTGGGGAACTAGATTTTGATTGTGTAATTTTTCTGGACATTGAAACAAATAAAACCGTGAACAAATTCAACATTGAATTTCGAGTTAATTTGCATTAGGTTTTCGATTTCAATTTGGGATTTGAAAATCACGCTTTTGTTATTTTGTTGAGCTTTTATTTTTTAATCTTTATTCGAGTTGATTTTGGACCGTGGAGTTGATTTCGAGTTGATTTGCAATAGAAGTGTTCATTGTTCATTGATTTCGAGTTGGTTTGGCCAGAGAAAATCGCAGGGGGAAGTGTGTGATTTGGCTAGAGAAAACCAACATGACAAGGAAAAGAAAATCAAATTTCTCTGGCTATCACACAGAGAATTTTATCCCAGTCTTTTAAAATGTTCACTGTAAAGGTAGAAAAATCTGATAACAGAGAAAATCAACATGCTAGATAAAATTACACACATCGATTTTGAGTTGATTTGCAGCAGAGGTGTTTTTTGTTTATTAATTTCGAGTTGATTTAGCCAGAGAAAATTGCAAGGGGAAGTGTGTAATTTAGCCAATGAAAATCAACATAACAAGGGCAAGAAAATCAAATTTCTCTAACCATCGCATAGAGAAATTGATTCTAGTCTTTCAAAATGTTCACTGTAAAGTTAGAGAAATCTTAGACAGTGAAAATCAATGTACCAAAGAAAATTACACATACACAACTAGTTTGAAGAAGAAAAAGCTCAAAAGAGTAATATGTATACTCTAGAGAAAATCAACAGGCACAAGGAGAATTCCAGAGAAATTCCATATTTCACAGGGGATATCTTAATGTCAAAGAAATTGTAGAAAAAAGAAACACACCAAAAAAATTTTATTTTTACAAATTTTTCTAAATATCACACACAAATCTAGGAGTTCAATGTGGTTAGAGAAATTTAAATATCAGAGAAAACTTCACGCACACACACATGCAACTAGTTTGAAGAAGAAGCTTAAAAGAGAAGTAGTAAGTAAATTTCAAAGAAAATCAACAGGCACAAGGGGAATTCCAGAGAATTTTCATATCTCAATGGGATATGTTAATGCTAGAGAAATTGCAGAGAAAATCAACATGCTAGAAAAATTGTAGAGAAAATCAACTTGTCAGAGAAATTTCATTTTTACAAATTTTTTTAGCTATCACACACAAATGTGGCCAAGGTTTTAAGCAAACAAAATGAACTTATCAAGAGATAAAGCTTTCACAAAATTCTCTAAAATAACATAAAAATTAACTTATCAAAAGATAAAGCTTTCACAAAATTTTTCTGAATCAAAATTTTTCTAAAAAAATGTTGAGTGACTCCAATTATTATGAAAATATTGCATATCATTTATCTTATAAAATTTTAATAGCAAAGACCCTAAAAAAAATTAACCTAATTGACAGTAATTTTTTAAAAAATAAAAATTGGGACCCCCTTTTCCCACCCCTTTTAACTCCATTTTTTTTTTGATTGGTTAATTTTTTTTTTCTTTTTTTTTTTTCTTCTCCTCCAATCACCACCCGCTACCACGTGTATGTGGAGTGACCACCCGCTACCACGTGTATGTGGAGTGATGGGATTGAAGTTTGAAAGGATTTAAACCACTATTGTTTTTTAAAATTATTTCTAACCGAGTGTCAACCCAGAATTTACAGTACAGCACAATGGTGGTTGCATACAGGGAAGAGGCTCCTCTCCAGTTGCAGGGTGGTGTTGGGGTGGAGAGAAAATAGAAAATACACACGCACGCATGCCTACTACCCGGCCGTACGGAGTCAGTGTCCCCACGTTTCCATCACCTCCCTCTTCCTCCTCCTCTCCACTATATAAACCCATCAACCCCTTCTCCATCTCCATCACCCCAATTTTCCAATCCATTTTCCCTCTCTTTCTCTCCTTCCAATCACTGTCTACCTTACTCACATACACACTCCATTGCATTGCACATAAAAAAATTTAAAAAAAAAAAAAACTAAAATGGCAGCAGCAACAACAGCACTATCTTCTTCATCAATTTCCATGCTAGACTCGAGCTTGGAGGTAGACAAGCTCACCTCCGAGATCTTCTCAATCCTCGAAACCAAATTCCTCTTCGGATACGAAGATCCCAAGCTTTCTCTCCCCCAAATTCCTCTCCAAGACATGAGATCCGGCAAGCACGTCACCGGCAAAGTCCGCATTCTCTCCATCGACGGCACCGCCGCCACCGACGGCGTCCTCGCTGCCAAGTCCCTCTCTCACCTCGAATCCTCCCTCCGCCTCAAATCCGGCAACTCCAACGCCCGCATTTCCGACTTCTTCGACGTCGTCGCCGGCTCCGGCGTCGGTGGCATCCTCGCCGCCCTCCTCTTCACCTCTCGCGGCGGCGGAGCTCCGATTTTCACCGCCGATGAGGCGTTGAAGTTCGTGACGGAGAATAGGAAGATGATTTTCCGGTCGAGCTCTGGCGGGGTTCTCCGGCGGATGTTCCGGCGATCGAAGAACGAGAAGAAGATGTTTCGGAAGGTTTTCGGAGAGTCGACGTTGAAGGACACGGTGAAGGCTGTTTTGATCCCCTGCTTCGACCTCACCACGCGATCGCCGTTCGTGTTTTCGCGCGCGGATGCTGTGGAGATCGACGGCTATGATTTCAAGATGGCGGACGTGTGTTTGGCCACGTCGGCGGATCCGACGGTGGTTGGGGCGATTGAGATGAGCTCGGTCGATCGGCAGACTAAGATCGCCGGCGTTGGTGGTGGTGTTGTGATGAATAATCCAACGGCTGCGGCTATTACGCACGTGCTTAATAACAAGCAGGAGTTCCCATTTTGTAATGGTGTGGAGGACCTCATTGTAGTGTCTCTCGGAAACGGAGAGTCAGATTTCGGTGCAGGAGATCTGACGTCATCGCCGGCGAGACGGGCGGTTCAAATTGCCGGAGAAGGAGCTTCCGACTTGGTAAGTTACTAATAATTTTTTTTTTAAAAAAAATATTTTTAATCAAAATATTAAAAAATGAATTAAATTGATGGATAATTATTCTCAAAATTAATGCTGTATGGTGGTTGTGGTGGCTGTATGTCATGGCAACTGGACTCTACCCACCTTCCTTTTAAATATTTTCATTGCAAAAGGAATTTTCTCAAATAAAGAAATAAAAGAATCTTTTAATTAACTAACAATACTATCTACTCATCAAAAAAACATTTATTGTTATTTGGATATTTATTGCGCGTGTCACTATTTCTAGTAGATAATAGTGTGCAGTAACTTTGTACCATATGCATATTACAGGTTGATCAAGTTGTTTCTATGGCATTCGGTCAGTCTAGGACGAGCAATTATGTTCGAATTCAAGCAAATGGCAATGGAAAGTTTGGCAAAAAGTTTAACAATAGCAGTATCGGAGACAAGAAAAACTTGTTGAGTCTTGCGGAGGATATGTTGGCGCAAAAAAATATTGAGTCGGTGTTATTTGAAGGGAAGAGGTTAGCGGAGAGCACGAATTTGGCGAAATTAGAAGTTTTTGCCGGAGAGCTAATCAAGGAGCAAGAGAGGAGAAAGACTAGTATTTTACCCACTGTGGCATTGAAACAGGGCTCACCATCGTCGCCTAGAACATCCTCTGCCACTACCCTATCGACAACTTCTTCTTATTAATCATCAACTAAATTGGTCAAAAATTGTCCTCCTCAATTTGTTTAGTCAGGATTATATATATGTATGTATTTGCTGGCTGCCACTCGTGATGAAATTAAGACATCTAGAGTATGTGCTGACTGCTAAGGTTTTTTTTTTTTTTTTTATAATTAATATTTTGGTTTGAGATGAGTGTATATTTTGTAAAATAGGTTTGATGGTGTATATGGAGGAACTTCAGAACTGGGTGTTTTTTATAATATAAATATTCAAACATTTAAAGCTTCCATTTCCATGATGTGAATTTTCTCATTCTTCATGTATATGCCTTGTTTAAGCAATTGCATGATTCACAACAACAGCCTATTAGATGGTTACAGTTTCACCATAGTCAAGAAGAAGGGTACTAGTGCACCATGCACAATCTTCAAATTGAGAAATTTCTCTGTTTTAAATTTTTTTAAAAAAATCTTGGATAAATTTCACGATTTCATCACAATTATTTTGTTTTCTAATGAAAATTATCTGTTTTGGGATAAACATTTACATTTTTTTGTTAGAATTTCTCATTTTTTAGATATAAACTTTCACAATTTCTCAAAACTTAGAGCACAGGGAGAATAAGAACCGAAAAATGAAAAATTGGGATCCGAAGAAAGATGATTTCTCACATTTGATTTTCAACTGATTACGTTAGTGCATGATAAGACAGACCATACATCACATCATATTTGTGGCGTTTTAACATGGCGCATTAATTAACCAATAAGATTGAAAAAGTCAATTATTGACCATAGCAACAAGTAAGACAAAGCACCAAATGGAGAAGATGAATATAGAAAGAACGAGAGAGGTCTTGGAGAAAAGAGACTAGTAGTTCTACTAGTCTCTGGCCTTGGGAAAGGAAGGCACCTCTGGCAAAAGTAGCGTTGGCCATGGAGAAAACTCTAGTACATCATTGTGCATTTTGGAAATATAGAAGGAAATGAGATATATTGGTTAAAATTTTTTGGGATAAATTATAAATACACCCTTTAAGATTTACTTAAAATACAATTTGTTCCCTATAGTTTTAGATATTATATCCCGTCCCTTAAAGTTTCTGATTTCATTACAAATGAATTTTTGATAAATCATCAAGTCAATTAACAGTTTTTAATGATGTCAAAAATTTCTTTCAATCAATAATTCAAATAATTTTATCATTGTATAAAAAAGAAGTTAGGAATCTTATTTGTTTCAATTAATTCTATTATATAAAAAATTCTAACAATAAAATATTTATAATTTACGAAATCTTTTAAGATGAGACCTCCATAAAATGAGACTCAATGTCCAATCATCGAAAAAAAGACTTCCGCTTCCTCCTCCTCCTCCTCCCTCCTCCTCCGACTCCGACGAATTCGAGCCAAATTCGAGCCTCGAATTCGAGCTACGAATCATCGCCGTTTTTCTTGTGTCACTTTAGAGGTAATGGAATCTCCAAACAAACCAGTTTATTCTAAGCACTCCCCTTAGAATGAGGTGCTACAAATAATTAAAGTAAATTTTTAACAAAAGTTCATAATTACGTTGGCATTAGAATTTAGTTAATTGATATTTCAATGCTTCAATTTGAAACTAAGTTATGTGATACGGTCCCATATGTGAGCCACAAAAGTTGCCGCATGCTAAAAAAACTATGATATATATTTACATCATGCCCTTGTTAGGTTAAAATTAAAGTGTGATTCATGGGCCTGCTCTCTCTGGTGATTATAGTGGACCAAGCAAAATGATGAGTTGTCAGTTATTAGGGTTATAAATTAATCCAACAGTTTGATTTTATTTTTATTTTTTTAAATAAATAAAAGAATTCGAATTAAACTTTCAAGCTCGTCTAATCAACAAGTCAAATTAGAGATCAAATAAATGTTCGTTTATCATATACTTTAATAATAGGATAGGATAAATATATTACTTAAATATTAAATCATATTTTTTCTTTACATGTTTTGATGATATTTGTCTGTAAAAGATAGACAACTAAGATAATTTTAAAAATAAACTATCCATTTTTTTAGACAAATCTAATAAAATAATGAGTTATGTTTATTGAACTAATATGAGTTCTTTCATAAATGATCTTCATGCATAATCAAACAAAATAAACAATTTATAAAATTCATAATGAGTCTTGCAAGAGCCAAACATCTCCAATCCACCATCCTCTTTATGAATTGGAGAGAAGCCATTTCTTTTTTTTCGAAACTTAGAATCGGTCCGTATAATTTACCCTACTCATATTTGGCAATAATATTAAGAAATAAGCATTAGAGTAAATCTAAAGATTTACACAAAACGGAATACAAATATAAGACAAATGATGAGTTCTACATATAATAAACTTTGCATGTGAGTTTGTGTCTCATCCTATAAAAAATTTATGTGTCCATAACATCGCTATAAATATTAGGACAACTTTTGCAACAAAAGGGTGCAAGAGTGTTAGATTCAAATTTCAAAGTTTTGTACTTGGTTTTTACTTCATTCACCATCCTTTTTTTCCAATTCATGGAACAATCGGCTAAAAGGATTGGAGTATACTTTTTCTTTCCTCTCTCTCAGCTTTACTTTAAATTATTACATAGTACATATTTGTGGTTTCTTGAGTGGGAGAGGTAGTTAGGTAAAGATTATTTTAAAAACTCACACATACAAATAAAAAATTTATATAGAGTAACATGATAGATTTATGTTTATCCATTTTAAATAAATAAAAATTCTTAAAGTGATTTATGATTTTCAAAATATTATTACCACATTATTCTTATGAAATTTTTTATATAAATTTTTTGTTTGGGAATCATTTTTCATTACAAAATACAATTGAGGCCCCCACAAATTCAGACAAAAAACCAACACCGGGTCACTACTTTTGCCCTTTTATTTTGAAACCAAATTGCGGGGACAGATGGACGGACACTCAAGTGGGCTTGTGGTCCATCAAACTTTCAAAAAGCCTTAAAATTGTTGGTTATTCCTCTTACCAAATTGTTATACATAGACGATTTTGTTTTTTTGTATTTTTTTTTCATTAGAAAAGTAATGAATGTTATATATATGACCCGTAAATGAATTAAATAGTAAGTTGTTTAAATTTGACTTGAAAATTTAATGAATTTCAAAATATGTTCAAATTTGACTTGTTACACAATGAGCCGATCTCGAATGAATTTTTAATCAACCAAACACGAGTTGAGTTCGAGTCACTTGATTTGTTTCTATAGTACATATAAATTTATTGGGCCAAGTAGTAGATTGTTCAAGTTCGGTTTGAAAACTTAACGATCTTAAAATTGTGTTCCAGTTTGGAATCCAATCTTGAACAAGATTTTAACAAACCAAACACGAGTCAAGTTTGAGTAGTTTGGTTGGTTTAATAACCCTATCTATATTGTCTTTGTATCTATTGGTAAGAAAATCATGTTATGAATTTGTTTAGTGTTACTCTATCTCTCTCTCTTTGCAGAAGGGGAAAATAACCTTTCAATATAAAAAATCAAAAATAATTACAAATAGGTGGAGACAAGTTTTTTAACACATTTTAATTTTAATTTTTAAGTCACTCACTTTTTTTTTTCTCTTTTGTGTTTTTAAACCGCTGCCAATGGAAATATGAGGGACAAAAAGTGGAATGAGACTTGTTATATATATCCTGACAAAAAGAAAATTTGAATTTTTTTTTCACCTTCCACATGATGTGGTGGATTCACAAAATAACTGATGTTCTACATGTAGGATCTAAGTATATATCCCCAAAAAAATTTAATAATGGATCACATATTTTCAAAATATGGGGTGACCTTTATATATATATATGTGTAAATTACAAATACACCTCCTTAGATTTGTTTAAAATACGAATTTTTTCCTATGATTTAAAAAATTACAAATACATCATTGTCAGACTTTTTTATTTAACAGAATTAATTGAAAAAATAAAATTTCTAACTGTCCACCTATACAATAATAAAATTATCTGAATTATTATTGAAATAAAATTTTAACATTATTAAACGCTGTTAATTAACTTGATGATTTATTAATAAAAGAACCTATTTGTTATGAAATTAAAAACATTAGGGGACATAATATAATTTTTAAAATTACAAAAAATAATTTATAATTTAAGTAAATCTCAAAAGATGTGTTTGTAATTTACTTATATATAAATGACAATTGTTTTGTAGATCTACATAAGAGGTAAAACAAATCAATAAAAAAAGTCATTCAATGACAAGTACATTTTGCAGTGTGAATGCAGTAAAAGTGGCCATTTTACTGGCCATCTTGCTTTAGCAATACTAGCCTTTCAGAGGAAATAGTTGAGTTGAGTTAGCTCTTTTAACTGTTTCTTCTTCTTCTTCTTCTTCTTCTTCTTCAACTGTTTCTTTTTATATACTGAAACCCATATTTACAAACTTTTATTGCTTTTTATATTACTAACCCTTTTATGAGCAAAAATTATTCACTGATAGGATAGTGATGATTAACGCTCCTTTTTTAAAAACCTTAATAATTGCTCCCAGTGAGTGAGGTGGCTCTTTAATCTTCACCCATCATTTATGGGCCTTCTTTTTTTCTCTCTTTTAATATGTAACACCGAATGTCTTCCCCAAACTAACGCCATCACAATGGTGCCTCTAAATGCACCCCAATAAAATTGTTGAGCACCCCACTTTTTTGAGCACTCCCACCAAAAATTGAATTTTACAACTTTTTTCTTTATTTATCGGAAGGGGAATGATTGTGAAGAAGAAGAAGAATAAGGTACAAGAGGTGGTTGCAAGGATGAAGAGGTGCTAGGAACAACTGGCTGGAGCTACCAAAGCTTGGAAGGACGGTCTGATGAGCCAGGTTACGTATTTGGTCATTTGAGCAAAGGGTGGAATGGTGTTAAATAAAATGTGGAAGTTGGGGAGCCCAACAAATTCTTTGAGCCACACATTGTTTAGGTACAATAGTTTGAGCAACTCAAATTACCACCAAGGATGGTAGCTTCGCATATCAGAACTCACTCTTATTGAGTTTTGTGAGCAAATGACATTGGGTCAAGTCTCAATGGGGATACACGATTTCCATTTCCATCCACTTCTGTTCCCAACTTCACCTCTTTAGGATCTTAGTAGGTTTCAGGTCAAGTTATGACTCAAGCCTATCTTCTTATCAGGCCTAAACCTATTTAGGCCGTTCTTGTCCAGCATCCCAGCAAGTAGGGACTTCTTTGGTCATGCCCAAGGAGAATTACTACAGTTGGTCGCCCCCTTTTACCCTTTTTCACTACACTAAAACAAAAATCCCAAATGGTGTCTCTAGTAGGGTTATTTCCACACCCCTGACAATCTAGCCCAACCTATTGCAATAGCCGAGTTGCCCTACAATCCCGATTCTGCCCAACAAATTCATATATTAAATAAAAACAAATATTACAAAATTAACAATTTTGCAGTCGAGTTCACATAAAAGCTTAATGTTTTGGCCATTATATCCTGGGTACAAACTCAAGTAAATTCATTTTCTATCTTAGGGGTATAAACAATTATAAAGTTCATCCACACTAGGAACTTAAATATCAAATAAATGTGAAATCGAAAAACAAATTGTGGACTGCAAGTGAGGCATGTCGGATGCAAAGCACAGTTTTCACTTTCACTCCATTGATTCATTTCCCCATTTTCCATTATTATGATGTTTTCCCATATAATTTATCGACACTAACAATTTCTCACCATTATTAAAAATAAGCATTAAAATACTGAAAATGAAACAAGTAGATAATTTATTCGCAGAGATTCAAAGGTTCACATGCTTTTTTTTCCATGAATGTCTGCTTTAGATGAAAGTAGAGAAGTATTTACACATAAAAAGCAATGGTCGGGGAAAGAAATAGCAAATAACTGAACATTCCAAGGCTTATTTCTTCATCCTAACCTTTTTTTAAGTAGTTCCTCCATTGCAAAGGTGCACACCATTACTGTGTGTCTTCTCGGGTTTAGGGTTTAACTGATTAAGCCCCCATATGCGAATTGTGTGGTCATCACTGGCCGATGCCAACATGTGCGGGTTCGCGGGATTCCAGCTAACGCAGTTTACAGCTCCGGAATGACCTGGCAATGCCTCTATGAGCTCCCCTGAGCCTTTGTGCCATATGTAAACCTACAAACAGAACAGAAAAATGTTCCACATCATGCATCCATGCACTTTGTGGAAGACCTATATTCTATAATTATGTATGTTAAAGTAATACATGGGTCGGACTCAAAGCAATGCAAATCAGAAAAATGGATTCATTGTGTACTAATCTACATAGGGCAGCTTCAAAGGTTGCATTTGGATTTTGGCACAAATCATTCAATGAAAATAGCTCATATTTTAGATATGATAGTTTAGATATGGATTTCGAGATTGCATTTCAGAGCTTTACCATGATGGATTTGAAATAACAATGTAAAATTAATTATTTGATACCCTTCAAACTAAGAACTAAAGTTGTACAAAAATCATAATAAAATACACTGTCATTTTTATAAAGCTTTAACTTCAAATCCCTTCATTTGAAATCTATCATTCCAAATGGAACCTAAAACAATTCCTCAGAATTCCTATTCAACTGAACGTTGGTAACTCAGAAATCAGGTAAGTAAACAATCTTCTTAAAAGGTAAAGCTTAGGAAGGACAACCAGAAGAAGCCATCTGAATAAGGAAGAAAGTATACGAGTTTCAGAACGGAACCTAAACTTGTCGCTAACACTTTCCAAAATTCAGGGCACTGTTCTCACAACAAAGAAGAAGTAAATACAAAAATAAACAAATAAATAATGACCTTCATACTCACAAAGAACATAATAGTGGATATAGAAAACAGTACATGAATTCAAGCAATTCATCTGCACACTAAACAGTACATGTATCGGAGAATTCTACGGTACACCCCTCTTTTTTGGGTATAGTATACACCTAGTTATGACCTTGGTTGTCTTTAGTTATGATCTTAGTGGTGTCTGGTTATGCTCTATTGTGGCTTGAAGTGGTTGTGGAACCATATAAATGTCAAATCAAAATGGGTTATGAACCTTGTGGTGCTTAGTTATGACCTATAGTAGTGTTTTATTATAACCCATAGTGGTTATTTTTTGTTATGAAACTAGGGGTGTTTTGTTATAACCCATAGTAATGGTGGTTATGAACCAAATCAACGACTCAGATTTAATCTTTTTGATCCAACAATTAAAGTGAGGGTGCATATTGCATGCACCTTTTTGGTGGGTGTCTATGTATATACACGTACACATGTAGTCTTTCCTATATATATACATGCACATGTGTTTGGGTGTTTAGAGAGAAAAAGCAGGAAAGAACTTTAATGGCGATAGTTTGAGTGGCTTGACCTGTTTTTCAAGAAAGTAACAACATAGCACGAAATAATTGATAGGTAGCAAGAAAGAACTTTAATGGCGATAGTTTGGGTGGCTTGACCTGGTCTTTAAGAAAATTAACGACATAGCAAGAAATAATTGATAGGTTGAACAAGTGGTCAATTGAATCAAAGAAAAATAGAATATTAAAATATTACCCAACTTCTACAAGGTTAGAAGTTGAACTTAAAAATTTTAAATGATGAAAATAGCATTTTTCGTAAACGTTCGAGACAGAATGTGTAGAGGGGGTAATCTGTTAAATGTTAATCAAGCAGAAGAGAGGGTAGTGTCATATTAGAAATTTGAGGAGAGGTCTTTATAATTGTTAGAAAACTCACAAAATGTCCCTGTGATTTACCCAAAATAATATGGGTAGTTTCGAAAACAATTTTTATAATCATAGGTAAAATTAAAATTTTTCAAAGGCAACATGGCAAAGAACCTATGAAGCACAGGTACAGGTACGGGTACGAGTACGGTACGGGTACGAGTGCGGGTACGTCGATACGTCAAAATTCAAAAAAGTATGATACGGGTACGACTGCGGTACGCCAATAAATATATATATTTTTATTATATATGATAAAAATTATAATTTATAAAATTTATTATATATATTATATATGATCAATTATATTATATATTATACATGATCAATTACATTATATATAAAAATTTATTATATTATTATATATTATATGTATCACCAATTATATTATATATCTTATATTATATATATTATATTATATATCTGAGAAGAGTCAAAGACGAAGAGGAGCAGAGGCGAGAGAGCAAAGGCGATCGAGAGACGAAGAGAGAGAACAAGAGAACAGAGGTGATCGAGAGACGGAGAGAGAGAGAAAGGAGAGAGACGAAGACGATCGATCAACAGTGAGCAGAAGATCGGTCAAAGAGACGATTGATCGATCGATCGAAGAGAAAACCCTAGAATCCTTCATTGCCCTAGCACACAAAGGCGACGCCTCTCTACACTATCAGGTTCGATCTCTTCCATCTCCTCTGTCTCTCTCTCGATTCCCTCTATACATGTGTTTATGGTATGTTTAAAGCACGAGGTTATCTCTCTCTCTCTCTATGTATATACATGTAGTTTTTGAGTATTTTTTGCCCCGGAACGTACCCATGGCGTACCCCCTCCGCACCCATGCCGTACCCAAATGTACCAGACGTACCAGACCCCTTTTGGCCGTACCCGGTACGCGTACCCGTACCAGGTACGTACCCGGTACTTGTACGGCAACATTTTAGGAGTACCGGTGCTTCATAGCAAAGAACCATAGGATTACTTGGTACACGATGTCCAATGTCTTCCGTACACATGCTTAAGTTTGTTCAATATAGGGTTGTACAATATCCCCTACTAATTCTAAATGTACAGCTATTTATTACAATCAAGAATCACGTTCAAAATTGTTATGTTTTTGGAAACAAAAAATACTATTAAAAATTCATACCTGAGAATCCTCACTGCCACTAGCAATGAATGCTTGCTGAAGTCCACCAAAACAGGATCTAACAACAAATCGGGAACGCTTATGACCTTTGTACTTAGCAATGAGCTTTGCATCACCGTCAATGTTCCATAGATGGATTTCTTGGTTCAAAAGACTAACCAACAAGAACTTATCATCCCTGGATAACGAAAATGAAGTTATTGTTTGATCCTCCTCAACCAATTTCTCAGTTTTTGCTTCTCTGTCAAGTAATAGTATTGCAGTTTCTCTACAACTAGTAACTATATGTTTCCCATCACTTGTTATTTCCAAGTCCGAGTTTCTAAGAATTCGTTTCCCTTTCCAACATTCCAGCTCTTTACCATCCAAATCCCACAAACAGATGCTTTTATCCGTAATACCAGAGAATACTGATTTCCCATCTGGAGACCATCCACAAGACACCAAACCGAGACCACCTTTCTCATAAATATGGAGGCATTCACCGGAAGAAACATCCCATCGTCTGACAGCCTCCTCGACTCCACAGGTAAGGAGCTGATTATCATCAGGACTCCATGAGACATAGGAAACAGGTTTCTGGTGACCTGATAATCTATGCTTTAACGAAATTGTACCATCCCAATTAACCTATAAAGGCCAAGATTTCTAAGTAAAAATGAATAAAAGAAAAGGGGCAGACATTAGGACGAAGGATTAATAGAGAGTTTATCATAGTTGAGCATAGACAGTAATCTTCAACAACATTTTACCTAAAATTGGAATGCAACAAGAACCCTCCTTAAGTTCAGTGAGGATCATCCCAACCATCCAATGGAAACATGCATTTCTAAAGGATGCAAAAGTAGAAACCAGCCAAAAAAAAACATCTTAAGCTAATCTAACAAAAACAAGACAAGATGCAAGGAAACGACCAAGAGGCCCACTAGGGGGGGCGCTAAAAATTGTAAAAACTATGAATATTATACTTTATACTAGTAAAAGTAAAATAATTTCAATAAAAGAAAAGTTACATGTATATTTGCTTCCCCAAAGTTCGAATCCTGGATCCGTCATACAAATATGTAAAGTGTAGGCTTACTTATTCTGAGAAAAAATAATAATAAAAAGTAAAAGTTACACCCAATATTTCTTGTTGAAGCACAAATTGATTCCTTTTTATTCTTCTGTGCCTGTGGAGTTTGAAGGCAGACCCCAGCTGCAAGGACGGGAATTCAGTTTACAATTGTCAATATGCATGCATGTGCTTCAGTATGAGATTCTACTACTTTTGACAATATAATCTAGATTAAAACTTCTATGAAAATGATTAAGCTGCACTTTCAATGAATACACAAGACGCATTGTAGGCTCAAAAAAAATTATAATCACTATGCTTGGTTTCACTTTTCAAAAAACACTTTTCAAAAAATTCTACTTTCTTATTTTCCGTATTTTTTTTGTTTTTACTGATTTTTTTTAATATTTTAAGCAATTTTTAAAATTTTTAGACATACCTAACTTAGATGTTTCTAAAAAGTAAAAAATTTGTGAAGAAAACCTTTTAAAAATTCACTAAATATCCAAAATACAAAAAAAATACGAGAATTCAGTACATTTTTTGTATTTTTATGTATTTATTAATTTTTTTTAAATATTTTTTCACAAATTTTTTATTTTTTAGATACATCTAAGTAAGGTGCATCTAAAAAGTAAAAAAAAAGTTCAAAATTTAAAAAATATTCACTAAAAACAAAAAAACACGAAAATCAAAAAACTTAATTTTCAAAAAACTTAATTCAAAAAACTCAAACCAAACACACTGAATGGAATTTTTCTCAACATTTATATTTTTTTGATAAATAAAGATAATTGAGAAATTAATAACTAATTTTTGTTTCTCATTCGTGAACTCAAGCTGTGGAAATAGTAGGCTAATTAGAACATCTCTGTTTTGGGGTTGGTTTCTACGTCACTCAAATTTATGAAATATCAACCAGATTACCACCTATCTTTCAAGATAGAATACCTGACATTTCAAATATAGGAGTTGGGATCATACAAGCTATCTGTTTGTTGGAATGTTAAGAACAAAAGAGTATAATCAGATTGAAGTTCCCAATTTCAGATTTCCAGAGACAAAACAAACCCCCCAAAGAATTCAGGTAAACAATCTAAACAACTACTGAAGCAGTAATTTAGTAGAATAGATGGCTATCGAAGCATATACAAACTATGGAGGGATGAAGCAACAACCGTAAAATCCAAAGAGATAGGGATGAAGCAACAACCGTAAAATCCAAAGAGATACTATGCATACATTCGCAAGTAATTAAAGAATAAAATACAATGCACCATCTACTCATATGTGATCATAGCAGTCAAGAAATATGTTAACTCTTGCCTCATTAAATGGACAAGGGTCACATAGCAATAGAGGGGCAACGACATGTTCAAATTATTTCAGATAGATCAGTTACCTCCCATATAATTGTTGATCGATCACTGGATGACGAGGCTAAATATTTCCCATTGTGTGAAAATCGCAAGAACCATACTTCATCATAGTGTTCTTGTAAAACCTGTCGTAAGGAGTAACAGGAAAAAAAAACAATGAACTCCAAGTGATAGATTGAGCCATATCTACAATAGATATTGCAGACCAATAAACTATGTAATCAGGACAAAATAAACAAATTTTCAGAAAACAAAATTAACAATTAGGCTTTTAATCTAAGACAAAGATTACATGTGTATTCCTCTAAACAAAGTAATTTATATAATGTGAGCAAACGTATCCAAAAATAATAATAAAATCTACTGTACCAGAGTACTATAGACTATAGTGTTCTACTGTAAATTAATACTTCAAAATGTGCGAAAAACTTATCTTTGACATGCTGGGATATGTGCCTACCACACACTCAATGTAACAGATTCCAAAGAGGCACCACATGAGGCAGCCATTAGAGCTGAACCAAGAGAAATGTCAGGACCTTCCCTCGGAACACTTTCAATGTATCTTGAGGATTGAAGACTTAGCTGTGTCTTTTCTTTTTTCATTTTTGTTATTTTATGGTAAGCATTTATTACCAAAGAAGAAGGAATATACAATAAAGCTCAAGATACATGTCCAAAGGACACAAGGAAACGACCAAGAGGCCCACTACCTCTCAAAAACACGACAATTTGAAACTGACCTAGCCATGAGAAAATGACACTCACAAACCCGAGAGACTTGCCCAAAAGAAGAAGAAGAAGAAGAAGAAGAAGAAGAACACACTCTCACAACCTGAGAAGATTAGGCACAACCGTGAGTCTTAAAAAGGGGGGGGGAGGAAAAAAAAAAAAATTTGAAATTAGCCCCATCACCTTGTTCTAGCAAGTTACGTTGTGAATCTTTTCATGTGTCACCACTTTATTTGTTTAGTGGGTCCCACCACTCATGTTTGTTAGTAATACAATGGCAACACATCACATGACAAACAAACTATGGTAGAACAATTTGATCATCATAGAATTATTACCCCCTTTAACCCATCTTTACTTCAAATAACTACTTGCTCCTTCTCCTTCCTAGGAGTTTGGACCTCAGCAATCCCATCAATAACAACTTGAGCCTCTCTCTCGGCAATACTCTTTGATGCATCTTAACAATTTGTATTCAGTTGCCATAAGGACACAACCCATCTCATTATTTAAAGCAACCCTTGATTCGTACCCATACTTAGGTTAACACGAGGAAAGAATCTCAAAATAATTTGAAGATGATGAAGCTTTAGGTTCACTCCTCCCCTTCAGCGATAGCTGTTATAATATTTTCTTATTTCCTTACTTAGATTAGATTGTGATCGATTGATTGATTGTCATTCCTTAATCAGTCAATCAATCAATCAATATAAAAGGTGATTCCTTAATCAGTACCTTAGGGCTTCCTTTTGTAACAGTTGAATCATCACCCAAGCTTTGTATTTTTTTAAATTACATGGTATCAAAGCCAAAATCCTAAAACCATCACCCACACAGCCGCTGCTACCAACCAGCCATCACCTATCACCGCCCATCCTCTATCGCTAGTCCCTGAGTTACTGTCGGAACCAGCCATGGTCCCACAGAGCTATTTCGGCTTCAGTCGAAGGCCCTTCTAGCCTAGTCGACCCTTGTGAGGGCTATCCTAGCCTCTCTTTGTGTATTTCGGCTACTGTGGATGAGTGTTTGAGGGTTACCCATCTTCTGTCGCCCCAAGTTTCTTTCCCTCTACTTTCTTGAACACAATTCAACATTTGTTTTGATTGGAGGTTCGTTTTCCCGTATTTGATTTATTTTTTGGGTCCATAGATGATCCATTAATCTGATTGTTATGCTCCCATAGTGGTTTGTATGTGACTTTGCTTGCTCCAATCCATTCTATTCCTCTTTCCATTCTTGTGATTCGTACAAGGTTTTTTTGGGTTGAAATTGTAAAGTTCTTCTGACTGACCTAACTAGTGAATCCACCACTACTTCTCACCCATCTAAAGGGAAGAGCTCCAGTCCAATTGTGACTACTACGTCTGAGAACCTAAACCCTAACCTCAAAATCACCATTGCTTTGTTAATGGTCTGAATTACCTTTCATGGTCTCAGTGTCTGACACTTTTTCTGAAGAGTAGGGGGAAGATGGGATATGTTAATGGGAGAGTTCACGCACCAAGTATTACAAATCGTAACTATGACCAATAGGAGATTACCAACTCTCTAATCATGGGGTGACTCATTCATTCCATGGATCCTGAGATTGGGGAAGGCTACTTATCCATGGATACTGACCAGGATATTTGGGAAGCAGTACATATTCTCAAAAAGGGAATTTTTCTCAGTCTTTAAGTTGCGCTGGTCTATTGAGCACTCAGTACAGGGGAAGTAGACAATTCTCCGGTATTACACCTTTCTGACAAATGGTTGGAAAAGGCCTAGATCATCTCCTGGATTACAAGTCTGTCTGTACAGTTGATTCAGTTGGTTACTATAAGTTTCTTGCACATAAGAGAGTTTTCAAGTGTCTGGAAGGCCTCAATGTTGAGTTTGATCCGGTCCAAAGTCGTGTCCTTGGCACGGATGTTCTTCCATCTTTTCAAGAGGCCTTTGCATATATACAGAACGAGGAGAGTCGTCGTTTTGCTATGTTACCACTGGCTACTAGAGACCGTTCAGTATTACTTTCTGCTCCTTCTCAAGATGAAACTGGTTTGCCATTACCTCTTTCCCATCCTTCAAGAAATGACACTGTGTTCCATGATTACTGCGCAAGCCACGGCATACTCGTGAGACGTGTTAGAAGCTTCATGGGGCTTCATCAGCGAGTCAGAGTGATCGGTCTGGTACTAGAGGCGGTCGATCAGGCCAGTCTAGAGGATGTGGCTCTAATCCACGGGCCCATCAGGTTGTTGTTGACACCCTTGATTCTACTTCTGCTTCAGTTGATCCGACTTTTGATAGTTTATCTAGCATGACTTCTCCTGAACTTGAGGTTGTTCTGCGTCATTTACCGGCCCGTCAATCTTATGTGGCTCTAATCCACGAGCGCATCAGGTTGTTGTTGACACCCTTGATTCTACTTCCGCTTCATTTGATCCGATTTCTGATAGTTTATCTAGCATGACTTCTCCTAAGCTTGAGACTGTTCTGCGTCATTTACCGGCTCGCCAATCTTCTACTGCTCCCAGTATATCTTCCTTGCCATTTGTCCGCTCCGGTAACTTAGCTTCTTCACCTAGAGCTTTTCTTTTCCATAAGTCTTTACCATGGATTATTGATTCTAGTGCCGTAGATCATATGTCTGGGTCTTCTGACATTTTCTCAGCATATAAGCCCTCTTCAGGTCAAGACAAAGTTAGGATTGCAAATGGTACTGTTTCTTCTATCTCTGGGTAAGGTTTAATTCATATCACCCCTACCTTAGCTCTATCTTCAGTGCTAATGTTCCTAATTTTTCTGTTAATCTTCTATCCTTGAGTCGTATTACTAAAAATTTGAATTGTAGTGTGACATTTTTTCCTGATCATGGTCTTTTTCATAACCTTCTCACGAGCCAGTAAATGGTCTCTATTTCTTAGATCAGCCGAACAAGCTGGCTCATCATTCCAAAACCTTGGTCTTATAGAGCCTTTGTGTCAAACATTTCCTCTGTTAGTATTCCTAACCACTTTCAGGATGCTCTCACTACCTCTAAATGGAAACTTGCCATGACTGAGGAAATTAAAGCACTTCGTAAGAATGGCACTTGGAAATTAACTAAGTTACCTAAGGGCAAACGACTAGCAGGATACAAATGAGTGTATACTGTGAATCACAAAGCAGATAATTCCATTGAGCGTTACAAGGCTCAACTTGTGGCAAAAGGCTTCACTCAGACTTATGGAGTGGACTATCAAGAGATTTTTGCACCAGTGCTAAGGTAAATTTAGTCAAAATACTTCTCTCTCTAACAGCTAATTTAGATTGGTCACTTTATCAATTTGATGTAAAGAATACTTTCTTACATGGTGATTTAGAAGAAGAAATATATATAGATATTCCTCCTGATTTTGAGGATCATCAGACAGATGGTAAAGTATGCAGGCTTCGAAAGTCGTTATATGGTCTCAAACAGTCTCTAAAGGCTTGGTTTGAGAGATTCACTTAGGCTATGCTTATATATAGTTTCAAACATAGTTAGACAGATCACACTTTGTTTGTGAAACAATCCTCATGTGGTAAGACTACAACTCTCATTGTTTATGTGGATGACATAGTGTTTACAGGCAATGATAGTAAGGAAATACCCATGTTAAAGAAATATTTAGCTAGTGAGTTTGTAATCAAAGACTTAGGAAACTTGAAGTATTTTCTAGGGATCGAAATTGCTCGCTCCAAGGATGAGATTTTCATCTCACAAAGGAAATTTGTTCTTGACCTTTTGAAGGAAACAGGGATGCTTGGATGTAAGGCCTATGATACCCCACTGGAACCTAATCAGAAACTTGGTGATGGTGAAAGAGAAGCAGTTGTTGATAGGAGTTATCAGCGATTAGTGGGTAAGTTCATTTACTTATCTCACTCTTGTCCTGATATTGCTATTGCTATTGTTGTCAGCATAGTTAGCTAATTTATGCATGCTCCTCATCAAATTCACTTAAAGGTTGTTATGAGAATTCTAAGATACTTCAAATCTTCTCCTAGAAAGGGTCTTTACTTTTCCAAACATGATCACCTCAGAGTGAAAACCTATACAGATGCTGATTGGATAGGGTCAATAACTGATAGGAGATCTACATCAGGATATTATACCTTGGTGGGCGGCAATCTTGTCACTTGGAGGAGTAAGAAACAGAATGTAGTAGCTAGAGCGAATGCAGAAGCTGAGTTTAGAGTTACAGCACAAGGTGTGTGTGAACTCTTCTGGATCAGACTGTTGTAGAGTGATTTGGAGATGAGCTAGATAGACTTTATGTGGCTATTTTGTGATAATAAGGCTGTCATCAACATAACTCACAATCTGTTCAACATGACGGTCCAAGGTATGTTGAGATTGATTGCCACTTCATCAAGGAGAAACTCACCAACGGCATGATATGTACTCCTTTTGTGAAGTTAGGTGAACTTGCACACATCCTCACCAAGGGAGTTAGGAGTAAACTATTTCATGACATTCTAGGCAAGCTGGGCATGCAAGATATTTTCGCACCAGCTTGAGGGAGAGTGTTAAAATATTTTTTTATTTCCTTATTTAGATTAGATTGTGACCAAGGTTTTAAAAAGCAGCCACAACCATTACGTAATGCTGTTGCGTTATGGTTGTGGTGGTTGCCATCACCCGTTACGGCCGCTTTTACTGTGTGATTGAGATTCACAGGTGTGTTGGTCGTAACGGCTGCCATAGCGGTCGTAACGGTGTTGTAACGGCCTGTTGCGCACCGTTACGTAACGGTTCCAAGCTGAAAATGAGGGAAGAGGGATAGGGAGAGAAAAGGGAAGATGAAGAGGAAGATGGAGGAGTAAGAGATAAAGAGAGAAGAAGGAAGATGAAGATGAAGATGAAGAACATGTTATTAATTTGTTAAAATGTATAATTTATTTTTTAAAACTATTCAAATAAAATTTGCATATGCTTCGACAAGTGTATTAATTAAAAAAATAATTTTATACATCTAATTCCAATAAAAAAAAAAATTGTCACAAGCGTAGTATGAATTTATGACATATAAAGTCATTAATTATTAAAATAAAATGTAAAAAACTCTTAGGAGTAAACTATTTCATGACATTCTAGGCAAGCTGGGCATGCAAGATATTTTCGCACCAGCTTGAGGGAGAGTGTTAAAATATTTTTTTATTTCCTTATTTAGATTAGATTGTGACCAAGGTTTTAAAAAGCAGCCACAACCATTACGTAATGCTGTTGCGTTATGGTTGTGGTGGTTGCCATCACCCGTTACGGCCGCTTTTACTGTGTGATTGAGATTCACAGGTGTGTTGGTCGTAACGGCTGCCGTAGCGATCGTAACGGTGTTGTAACGGCCTGTTGCGCACCGTTACGTAACGGTTCCAAGCTGAAAATGAGGGAAGAGGGATAGAGAGAGAAAAGGGAAGATGAAGAGGAAGATGGAGGAGTAAGAGATAAAGAGAGAAGAAGGAAGATGAAGATGAAGAACATGTTATTAATTTGTTGAAATGTATAATTTATTTTTTAAAACTATTCAAATAAAATTTGCATATGCTTCCACAAGTGTATTAATTAAAAAAATAATTTTATACATCTAATTCCAATAAAAAAAAAATTTGTCACAAGCGTAGTATGAATTTATGACATATAAAGTCATTAATTATTAAAATAAAATGTAAAAAACTCAATTTATAGTGATTTAAAAATATGAAATATATTGAATCATACTGAAAATTTACAAAAATTTATCAATATATATTTTAAAACCTAATAAATATGATTATGGAAAAAAAATATGGGTATCGGTAAATTTTTTTCAAATTGTGCGAAAATAAAAAAATTCACAATTCTAGTTACCGCAACCGTTACGCTACGGCCTTTACACCCCGCAACCGCAACCGCGCCACCGCCACCGTTATAGCGACCGCAACCGCTTTTCAGAACCTTAATTGTGACTCATTGATTGATTGATTGTGATTCCTTAATTAGTCAGTCAATCAATCAATCAATATAAAATGTGATTCCTTAATCCGTGCCTTAGGACTTCCTTTTGTAACAGTTGATTGACTAATATAAAAAGTGATAATATCATAATCATCACCCAAACTTTGTATTCTTTTTAATTACAATAGCATGCACTATACCCTTCTCTCTTCTTCACCTCTCCCCAAATCCTCACCTTTGGATTCAAGTATACTTTCTTTGTCTATCCGTTCTTGCTTGGAGTTGGAAGCCAATGGGGACAAATGTCTTGTAAATACACAGGCAAGATTTAGTAAAATAGCCAAAGGCCCAAGTGCCGTTTAATAATATTATATTATACATATCAAAAAAATAATAATCAAAAGAATTTATTGCTAAAATCTTTAAAATCAAGCTACAATTCATACCTTTAAGAGAGGATATATAACAAGATTAATAGTGAGAGCATACGCACACCAAATCGAAATGCACATAAAGGTGGCGAAGATTTTATTTTCTCTACAAGAAATACGTGAATGTAGTTGATACTACAGCATTGGGCAAAATATATGTACTGTTAGTTTTAGTTGCTTACTGAAGAAACAGAAGAAACAACTCCCAGGTTGTCAACGGAATCTTAGCCTCACTAATAAAAGAGAATCTCAGCTCCAGAAAACAAAACATCATATATTCCAGGTTATCATAGCATGCAGTATTTCCAGCTCATCAATTAACAGAGGACGAAAACAATAAAGTGTCCATATATGTATTAAAGATAAATCTGAAATCAGAAAAAACATATCCCAACCTGTAATGTTTGAGAAGGAATCTGGTCTCTTCCACACCGATGATCAGTTAACAATGACATTTCTGTATCCCAAGAGTTGTGAAACATGCAACTACCTCGTTGCAAGTCAAGAGCCTGTTCAACAAGATGTTCTAACCTTCTTTCTGGTATCATCACTGTTGGAGGAAGTAATTTCTGCAATTCCTCAAGCAATTTTGACCGAGACTTTGTCCTTCCTACATCTTGGCCAGGAAATCCCACAATTTGACAATGTGAACGAGACACAATACACGAAGAAAGATCACGAACTCTATTGCTATTTATGCAAAGAGGTGCAATCTCAGTCCTCAATGTCTTCAATGCATCCATGACCTTTTCCCCATCCAAAAGTTCAAAAAATTTCTGCTCTAATATTACAAAAGATGCTAACTTTATGATAGTTTCATCAACTAGACCAATTTTATGCAATGTGGCTACACTCTCATTCCAATTACCATCAAGAATTTGCTGCATAAACAAATTTACCATAGAGGAATGCAAGTGTATCCCAGACTCTTCCTCTAAATGTGCCCCAGTCTTCTTAAAGCCAAGAGAATATAGTGCCTCTGCTATGATTCGAATGTATTCCACTTTTCTGATAATTCCTTTTGAACCAACCATCTCTTCATCTCCTTGGGATGCTAGGGGACGAGCCATTGAGTCACACGACAGGCAGGTTGTTAGCCCAAGAGATGTACTGTCCTGAAGGCCTCTCAATTCTTCAGAGGATACTTTCACACGTTTTGAGGGTGGTTCATCATCCTCCACACCTCCCATGAAATGTATACCTCAGCCCATATATAGTTACAATGAGAGAAACAGAGGAAGTTGTTTACTCTCTTTCCAAATACCTCCTATGGCTCACAAGCAAACCTTCCTGCAATACATAATCAAAAGAGAGGTTATAGTCAATAGGACTAGGAATTGCAAACTCATATGATTAAACTCAACTCCAGAAAATAAATGACAAATACATGTAATGTCACCAATCTTTCACTAATAGAATGGAATGGAATATGCTCTTCTATTTCACTTAGTATAAAACTCCTGTTCAGTTACAAGAAACCCAAAAACACTATCAAGAAACCTAAAGAAGGACATAAAAAATAAAAAATAAAAACCCAAAATAACAGAAGAAATTATAAATAAATAAAAAAATAATCCAAACACTATCAATAAAGTTTCACAATTGCAGGTGACATGGTGGTGCCACTCTAGGACTAAGTTTACAAAGAAATAAATCCACCCAAGTGTCTGGATCATGTTTTATGGGTAAGTAGGCCTCCCCACTCCTCAGGCAATTGAATGACCAAAGAACCATCCAAAACAAATCAACTTGCCCCACATGGCATTGGGTTCACCAGGAAAAGTCTAAAACACATAAAGATTAGACAAAGTTGGGTTAACTCATACAAAATAAATCTTAATCAAATAACAACCAAGCAAGTTGTTATCTGATCATTGCCAAGACAATAATTAAACAACTAGCTTGTCTCATTATTCCTGAAATAATTACTAAGTTGGGTTAACTGAATACAAAATATAAATAAAAAAGAAATATCAAATACCAACCAAACAATCTAACAACTCAAATAATTAAATTCCATGCAAGAAGACCCTCGAAATATATCAAATTGATACTGAAATGAGTAAATTTATGGGCTAATTTGTTAATACAATCGTCAAATAAGCTCTTTTTCAGCTGAAATTTGCAATTTTTTAAGGTACCCATTAAAAAAAATACACTGAAGATCTCAAATTCAGCAGCTAATATGAATTGAGAAAGAGGGGAATCTGGGGATACCTTCGTATCGATTTTTGTTGTTGCAGATCGGACAAGAACGATGAACTCAACTTCCACTTCGGTTCAAGGGGAAAATTGAGATTGAATCGGAGAAAGATTTCTGATCAGATCGGAAAACCCAGATGTGAAACCAAAGCTTGTGATGTGGTTTATGCTTTCAAGGAATCAAACAACACACGCAAACCCAAAAACGAAAACGTGAACAAAGAGGCAATGGGTTCGAACCCTTTATATATATATATATATATATATTTATATGATTTCTTTACCGATTAAGCTTGGTTTTGTTGTGTACCTACCTCTTCCCCAAATCTCAGATCGGTGAAATCTGTGAAATGAGGCCACATGAATCTTTTGAGAGAGAGAGAGAGAGAGAGAGAGAGGGTTTTGGTAAAAACTGGGGTGAGAAGAGAAAACAAAGGATTAGCTAAGCTAGAGAGAGGTGAGGTGAGGTGAGGTGAGGTGCTGTGTTGCGTTGTTTTTGCTTTTGGCCCTGTTTGACAAGAGTTTTTTATTTTTATTTTTTATTTTAGACTAAAATTTATAAAAAAGATAAAATAAATTAAAATAATTAATAAAATAAAATATCACATCAAATTCACAATTACTTTATTTTTTCTTGTGAATGTCACGGCCTTATTTGTTTTATTTTTGAGAAATAAATTTTAGAGAAAATGTTCTAATTTTTGTTTGGTTTAGTGATTTTAGAAAAAAAAATTCTAAAATTACTTTCTATCTCTTACACATTAATCAATCACTTTTTCTCTCTCATCGCTCCTCTCTCCTTCTCAATTACTTTTTCTCACACACATCTACTTAACAACAAAAAAATATGAAATCATCCCAAACTCTTGTTTGGTTTGTTTTTCACAAAAAATTTTTGGAAAAAATTCTTTACAAACAAATTTCAAGAGTAATCAAACCAAACAAATTTTTTCAAAAAAAATCTCAAAAATTTTGTTTGGTTACTTACTTTATAAAATCACTCACTCTCTCATACACATCAAATCAATCACTTTTTTTAAAACTCTCTCCTCAAAATAATTTTTCAAAATTATTTCTGAAAAAATGCAAACTAAACAAATTTTCGTACTTTTTATCTCAAAAACTACTTTACAAACACAAACTAAACACACCCTAAGGGCAAACCAAACACACCCTAAGGGCAAACCAAACTACTTTACACTTTAAAACTATTTTCAAAATACACAGCCAAATAAACCAAAAAAAATTCTAAACTCTTTTTCCAAGATTTTTTTTGAAAATTTATCTCTCAAACCAAATCAAACACACTCCATATCTAATTATAAAAAAATCCAACCATCTTTTTAAATATAAAAATTTTAACTTACTAAAATAGTTAAAAAAAACTAAGCATCTATGCACAAAATGCACCCACTCAAATTTCTTTATGCACCGTGTGGTGCACCTCTTTAACAAATGTTATATTTATCATTGTCACAATGGATGTTTTGAAAAGATAGTTAAAGACTATTTTTTTATTTTATTTTTGACTTTTTTGTGAGAGAGAGAAGTGGGTTAAAAATTGAAAATTGGCTTTTAATCCACTTCCCAAAATAGAACTGACATGGGTAAGCCCATAAAAATTATAGCCCGCCATTTAGGGCCTAATACATATCTCAAATACTAGAACCCAACACTGCTGAAGCCCCATGTAGCAATAAGAACCAATGACATCAAGGCACATGGCAAGAGAAGGGCAAGCCACATCAGCCGACAAAGATCTGCAAAGTTATTGCCACTGCACATCGCCATTAATGAAGCCTCCTTACAACATTTATTGCGATAACCCCTCTCTGTCGGGACAGCACGCCCTCACCCTGAATAAGGTAAGCTACAGCGTAGACTTTCGGCCACGGTGACAGGTTGGAAGGGACAACGAAATGATTATTAGAGGATATAAGCAGACGTTGAAAACAGGAAGAAAGTTAAGTTTTCTATCTCTAATCCATATCTCTATATCCTACTTCTCTCTAACTTGCTCGTCGGAGGGTTCGCTGGGGGACTCTCTGTTCCCCGTTGAACTCTTGTGCAGGTTCTTTGGTGGGCTTGATCACCTGGATACCGGCTCGAGAAACGTGGATCAGTCCGACCCATTCTGCTTGGAACTCGTTACATCATAACTGTACCATCAGTTGGTGCCGTTTGTGGGAACGCTTTGCTCCGCGCGCCAGTTGTGCTCATTGTCGCCAGAGACCCTGTCCCAATAACCCTTTCCTATTACCCGTCAAAGTGTATGGTCACGACTAGATCCATGACTTCTTACCATAATGCTGGCGACCATCAAGCCGACCCCACCAATCCAAACAACCCACCACAGTATTTCATCGAGCTTACCAACAGCATTAATCGTATGGCCGAGCAAAACCAAGCCCTGATTAATGCTCTACTCTAAGGAAACCTTCCAATGCCCCCTCCACCACCTCCAGATATTCCTCCCAACCAAGAACGAGCCCCGAGCCATACTATCCCGCAGCCTAATCCCCCTAGCTCGGAAGACTTGCAACCCCCTCCCCCAAGTATAAACCTGCCACCCCGGGGCCCACAGCCATTGATCCCGGCACCAACCCCTAAAGGAGAAGCCAGTAGCATCCAACCCCCGCTCCCCCCTGGTGGTGACAACATTCCTCTCTGGGACGCAGAACTACGAGCCATGAAACTCCAACTCCAAGGGGTCTGTGACAACCCTCACTACTGTTTACTGATAACACCACTGATTACTGCTATACTGAGACTGATCATGATAAGTAAATGAATTGATTGAAATTCTGAGCGAATTGATTGGGTGTGTTAGTTTAAATGCATGTCTATCTGTTTGACTGTTAAATTATTTGTTTATGTATTATGTTTAAACTGTAAATTGAAGGCCTTATCGGCGACTAAATCTAAAATTGATTAATGTTTTATGCTAATGGGAATTTATGTGATTTTATGATATATTTAGTTGAAATGTGATTTGGTATGTTTAAATTGGATTAAGTAATGCTAATTTACAAGAGTTGGACTTATTCACCAAAATGCCATGATAGTGGGCCACTTATCAAATATGTTTGAAGTCTATTACACTTTTGATACAACATTTCCTCAGCCCATTTCCTTATACACAACCGACTAGAGAGAGAGGGAGATTGACTTTTTGGCTTATTTAGTATATGCCAAACTAGCCCTTAAACTGCAAATTGAAGGCCTTATCGGCGACCGAATCCGAAATTGATTAACGTTTTATGCTAATTGGAATTTATGTGATTTTATGGTAATTTTAATTGAAATGTGATTTGGTATGTTTAAATTGGATTAAATAATGCTAATTTACAAGAGTTGGACTTATTCACCAAAATGCCATGATAGTGGGCCATCAAATATGTTTGAAGTCTATTACACTTTTGATACAACATTTCCTCAGCCCATTTCCTTATACACAACCGACTAGAGAGAGAGGGAGATAGGAGAGAGAGTGATTTCATCTTGTTTTGGCTTGGAGATTAAGAGATTTGAAGATTATTTGCATATTTGAGCTTCCATTCTTGTAATTGAGGAACCTAGGTAAGGATTTCATCCTTTTAATTGTGAAATCAAGTTGTGTCTTGCATGATTCATGGTAGATAGGAGCCTAAGATCATAAATTGGTTGAAGATTGTTGAATTGAAGCTTATATCATGCATACATGTGTATATCTTAAAGTTTAGAGTTGTTTTCATGGAAATTCTTGCATGCATGTCCATATTTGGGTTATAATCCATGAATTCATCATGTTTGGGAGTGAATTAACTCATTTGATCTTGCTTTGGAAGCTTTGAAGTTGATTAAATTCATGCATGTTGCATGTTCACCATGTTCTTGAAGTTTTGATGAAATTATGTTTTAATTGACTCACCCTTAGGCTTTGATTTTACAAATTGATCTTCAAAACATGTTATATTATGGGTTTAAAGTGTTTTTCCAGAAAATAGGCCCAAGAGGTTGAGTTTTGATGCATTAAAGTTGAGTTTTGAGCTTGAGGTTTGAATTTGGAAATTTCAGATTTTGGACTCACGCTCGAGCGAGGAACTCCACGCTCGACCGTACGCCTTGTGTTCATGTCATCCGCTCGAGCGAGGAAAGTGACGCTTGAGCGTGAAATGCGTGTATCCAGTACTTTGCATATGTTTACAGTCCGCTCGAGCGAGAGAGTTCACACTCGAGCGAGGACTCGTGTCTCACGCTCGAGCGTGTATCGAGCGCGATTTTTGTGCATCCAGTATTTTTACTATAGCTTACAGTCCGCTCGAGCGACGGAAGTCACGCTCGAGCGAAGCTCCTTTGTCTGCATGTTCACTCGAGCGTAGGAAGTCACGCTCGAGCGAGACCCCTGTTTTCTGAAAATTCTAAAAAAAATTTTAAAGTGCATCTTTGCATCCTCATTCCATCATAGGCATTCTTAGGCCTAGTTTAAGGCATCTTAATGAGGATATTGATATAGAACCACACCGAGACAAATTAGGGAATAAGTTATTATTTCCCAACTATGTAACTTAGCGTGTGTTCGTTCTGTAACTGTGTAGGGTTAGTATCCGAGGACGCGTACTAGCTTATCTGTAGCCCAGAACTCTGTGAGTAACAATGTTGTAAAGATATGTTCAATTGAGATTATTTTCTATACAAACGACTGTATTGCTTTATGAAATGACACTGTTTACTAAATGAATGTTTGTCCTATTTGTGAACTGTATTCGTGGCATCCATAGCAATTTACTGTTACTGAACTGTTACTGCTACTGTTACAGAGATCTCTGTCGGTTCCCATGTTTGGAACCACTACTGTTTACTGATATGATGGCCATCATTGACTGTTCGTTCGGTCTGTTAAAACCTACTGTACTGTTTTGCTATTGGATGTACCACATATAACTATTCTAGTTTTTGAATAACTGTTATGGCATAAAATATGAGCCACAAACTGAATGACTGATATACTGATAAATGACTGTTTTCAATACTGGAAAGGACAGTCATTCTTAACCTCTTTACGCATATGTTATTCACTGGGCTTTAGTTCACTGCTCATATATATATGTAGGTGTACAGGCACCAGACTGTTGCTAGGAGCGTCAGGCTAAGCTCCCGTTTTGTCAAAGCCAACTACCGTGCCTCACTGCGAGCTTCCAAGTCCTTCAAGCTAGGGCTTTTTGGGGTGTTTTAGTTTTTCCCTTTTTGTATCTGGTTTTATAACACTATATAGACTGAATGATATGTGTACCTGTATTGTACTGTTATAGTAGGGACATGGTCCCTAACCTGAATATCTGTATATGATGTATGTACATACTGCTATGGTTTCAAGATGTATCTGTTATGAAAAATCTTTTTGCATACAGACTGTCACAGCTCATTGGACATCTTTTAATTACTGTTTTGGCTTCCGCTAGTCCCTGTACTCTGTGTT